TGCGCTTTTAGGATGAAAGGCGCTGGCACAGTGGTATAGCAAGCTCATGCAGTGCCTGTGGGCATTAGCATCCTACAACTGGGCCGGTTTGTGTCCTGGCTGCTCCATTGCTGATCCAGCTCCCTGTTCATGGCCTGGGAAAGCAGCGAAGGCTGGCCTAGGAGCTTGGGCCCCTTCACCCATGTGAGAGACCCAGTAAAATTTCCTTGCTCCCAGCTTCAGACCAGCTCAGCTCTGACCAGAGACCATTTGGTAAGTGAACTAGTAGATGGAAGACCTTGTCTCTGTAATCCTAACTTTCAAGTAAAATACATAAATCTTTTTTTACAAAAGATAAAAGGCAAGAGATGATGGCTTTCACAGTGTGGGTTGAGTGTGGTTAGGGGTGAGACAGGTGGGAGCTGACTGAGGAAGATGTGAAAGCCCAGCAGGCTGGGTGCATGCCCAGCCCCTGCAGGCAACACCCAGTCAGCATGGGCTGCACTAGCAGGGTGCAGCAGGCCCAGTCCTATGGTTGTGGGGCATGCTGTCCCTGGTTTCCTGGGACGGTCACTGGTTGCAATGAGTTTTATGACACAGCCTGGCATTGGTTGCCCAGCAGGAACCCTGGGTAGCCAGATCTACGCGCCTTCAGAGTGCCGCCACCTTGCCCACCACCAGCCCTCATCCACCAGGCGGCTCTCAGTCCGGCTTCCTTTGAGGATCTACCTAGGTTCCCCTTGGAGTGGCCTGCCTTTCAAGTTCCTGTCTCTCAGAACCTTCCCTGACTTTGCAGACACCCTCCCTCCTGGGAAGGTGGGGTTAATGGTTGCACGGTGCTCAGGGGCTGCAATCACCCTGGCGTGGAGGTGGGGGCACCCTGCTGGAGCCCAGCTTGGGCTGCCCTCAGGGTGCCAAGAAGGCAGAGCTAACCACATCTTTCTTTCTTAACCGGAGGCCTCTGTGGAGACGCCACAACTCCGAGGGCTTAAAGGGCTCTGCAACTGTGGCTCTGGGATTTCACAGTTCTCTAGAGCTTGCATTATATGCAGTGCAGAAGTGCCCTAGTCAGGCCGGAATGCGCTCCCCTAATCCGCCGGCTCCTCTGCTTGGGGCCCGTCCCTGACCCCGCCGGGCAGAATTCCCAGCAGGGCCCCTTCCTCACCGTGCTATGTGTCCCCCACCCCCTTTTTTATAAACCTCTGAATCTTCATTTGTCCACAAGTAAGAAAATTTACTTCCTGTCTTCTGTGATCCCAGGGCCTACTGTAGAATTTGGCCTGGAGTTTGTTAAATGAGGCAGGCAGAAATCTGCCTTACCCAGGGGAGGTTCTCAGGTGGCAGGTGGAGAGTGGCGCTAAGTAGTCATTGGGTTCTCGTGTTGAAGACCACAGAAGAAGGATGCAGCTTCCCGAGGGACTTGGCTGCCACCTGGGAATGTCAGCGCTAAAGGTGGAGGGTGGGTTCGGAGTCCTGCAGGTCTGGGCTCCAGGGCCCGGGGCAGGGGCAGCACCTGGCAGACCTTCAGTCTAGAACCCATGCCAGCACACAAAAGAGCAGATGCATGTGTGTGCCACAACGGGTGGTTCAACAATGATATTTAGTATTACTCTTGTCCCTTAGTCCCTTATTGACTCCAAAAACAATGTCTGTAGTCTACATTTCAGGGCTAAGCCACTGTGTGTGAGGCTCAGCCTCCACGGGATCTGGAGGCAGGGTGGGGCAGGGCAGGGCTCCTTCAGGGGTTCAGGCTTGCAGGCACAGAGCCTTAGGGGCCCCTCCTCTGGCCCCAGTCCCTCTTCTTCCCCTTCTCTACCCCAGGATGGCTAGAAAGCCGTGCCAGCCCTTCCATGACCCAGACACACTGGGTGGGGCCAAATTGGTGTCTTGTGCTCTAATAGAGTGTGGAAAATTTCCATTAGGTGTTGTGGAAAATAGAAGCTTCTAATTTTGCCTAGCACTGCAAAAGCTCCTTCCATTAAAGTCATTCCTGGGGAGCCAGAACAACCTCAAGAGAGGTGTGACTTTTGATGAAAGCAGGCTTAGCCCAGCTGTCCTGGGATGCTGATGCCACGGTGACCTGTATGGAAGACCGGCTGGGGTCAGTCGTTGAGAGGCAGCCCAAGCTTAGTCTCCCACCAGAGTTAAATGGGGGGCAGTCAGGGGTTCTGGGCTCTCCACTTCTCCCTGGCCCACCACTGCCCTTTCCTCTCTGTGTGCCCGTCCAGCTGCGGCCATCAAGCAGTACCTTTGACTCCACACGCCCACCCTGTACTTCATCTGTGAACCAGGGACCTGTGTTTCTATTTTTAATGTAACCATGGTGCTGGGCTCCTAGGGCTTACATACACTGCCCAGTCAGACAACCTTGCTTTTTGAAATATGTGTGTTCTAGCAAAGGAGTTACGGAACAATCCTCTATAAGCCCATTTGATATCATCCAAGGTGTATTCTCCCCAAAGGGCAAAAGTCCCAAGAGTCTGAACTGTGCACCTGACCTGCCTTCAAGCAGGTGTATTCTCAGGTGCTTCTCTTCTCATCCGTGTCAGGGGGCACTGTGATTTTCTACTTTGAGAACATAAGACTGGCATGCTCCTTCCTCCTCCCCATTGGTCACCTGCAATTTCTAATAGAAGTGGCTGAGACAATGAGCTGTGACATGTGTATTCTGGCAGGCACAGGTGGCCCCACCTCACCCACCGGGTGTTAAGGCACCCATCCTGCCCTCTGTACCAAGCCCTGACCCTCGAGCTAGCCCAGCCCTCCAAGAGCCAGAAGGACATTTAACCACCAGGAATGCTCACAGCTCTGTCTCCAGGCCTATCTCCCACTGGCTCTGACCATCTGGGCTAACTTAGTGCTTGCAACACGCTGCCTGCACAGAGCCAGGCAGCGCCAGAATGTCTCCCACTTAGATGAACAGGCCCCTTGCTTTGGAAATGCACAGAGCCCAGGGTGGCTTCTGGCTCTCTCAGTGTATGATGGGGCCAGAATGGGATCTGTGTTTCTTATCCCATGTTCCTCAGAGCACACGTGTTAGAATGTGGCGGTACACAGCTTCCCAGGCCCTAGCTTCAGCTATATGTGGTTTGAAACCACTGCCTTTCCTAAGCCTGCTCATACTTTGTGTTCATCCATGCCTTGGGCTGGCTGAGCTGATCCATCCATTTCCTTCTAGTCCCTTCCCTGAGGTCTCTGAGGCCTTCTGGAGGAAAAGGCCATCTGGGTTGGGGCAGGTGCAGTATGTGGTTCCAGAACTGCTGACCATGGGCTGTTGTATGGGGCATTAAGACAGGGCTATGTTGGGGGTTGGCGGCTGCCACGATTGGAGAAACCCTGCTCCTTTTATTTTCTTTTGTTCTAGAATGTCTGCCCTGCCCACAGTTCCCCTACAGAAACTCCAAGTTGGTAAGACTCCGGTGGGACGGGCTGTGTGAGCTGGTATTGGGGATGCATCTGAGCCAGCCTCTGGCTTTGCCATTGGCCTGGTGGCACACCAGGCACAGCTTTGCATCCCGTGGGACACGAAGCTCACCTATCCTCATCCATCTTTGCTAATATTGAGGTCAGTCTCTCGAGTGGTGATGTACTCCAGAGCGCAAAGGTGAGAGATGGCATTTGCAAAAAAATCTATTCTTTCTCTTCTTTGCCTCACTGCTCTATTGACCCTCGGTTCAATCAAATCCCACTTACGGCTGCGCAGTCCATGTCAGGAGCAGCCCTGGTGGTGATAAACTCCCCATGCATTGCTCCCTGCGGCATGCCTGCCTGCCTCTCTGCGGAAGGCCTGTGGTCCTCTCTGTTTGAGCCCATCACATCTACCAGGTCTTCATCCACATGCTAGCAGATAGGATAAACTGACTGTTTTACCTTTCCCCATGGCTCCCCAAAGATCCCAGCCCACTCCCCATTTAGACTCTGTGCTTCGTGTTGTAGAAAACTGTGGCTAGGAGGGTCCCCACTGCAGCCAAGACCTTCATCATGTTCCTGTGTGCTGTGGCACTGGGGGCTGCACCCTCTGGAAGTGGTGGGGCCGCACAGAAGCCAGGGCAGTGGAGGAGGAAGAGAAGCCTGTATGGTCAGATGCCTGTCCATTGCCTCCTCAACTGCTCTGGATCTGCCTTCCTTCGTCCTGTTTGTTCCCTCACTCTTGTCCATGAAGCATTTAGTGGGAAAACATCGGGAGGCCCTGTGTAGCTAGGAGGGTTCTGTAGCTTGGTAACCATGTGCCGTGCCATGCTGGGCAAGCACGCTGGCTCTGCCTGTGCCACATCCACAGCAGGTTGGCTTTTGGGTGACTTGCACCTATGTCAGACTGTCGACTGTCCAGGGAGTTGGGGTGATAGGGAGTGTCCAGGGAAGCCCATGATGTACTTGGCCCAAGGTGGTACTATCTGCCAGGAAGACCCCTTGCAGGAAGACCCCCTGTATAAGCAGATCGATACCCAGGTGTGCCCCTGCATTACCCTCCAGCCTGGGCTATTCTGAGATGCGGTGCACTCATCTCAGAAGTTCCCCTGGGAACCTCTTCACGCCTGAGCTGTGTCACTTGTTGGCAGCAGCCAGCATCTGCCTTGCTCATACACCACGGGCTTCCGTGCAGGGCACCCTGCACCCGCATATCCTGAGACATTGCTTTCTGTTTCCATTTTGCCTGACTTCTTTGCAATTCCCTTGGTCTAAGCATGTGCTTGGGTGCCTGTTTCCCCTAGGGTCTTGTGTAGAAGGTGACAGGTGATAATTGCAATATCCATTGCTTCCCTCTATTGCAAGCTTACTCTGAGAATGACCTCGTCTTTGCATTATCCCAAGGAAGCTGGCGTTGTCCGGTTCCCTTGATGCCCACCGCCTCCAGCCAATCAAAACCCTGTGAGGATTTAGCTCAGGTCTGTCATCCTTCCAACAGCATAGCCTGAACCCTAATTACCAAGGAAATCCAACAGACCGTCCAGAGACCTCTCCCTGTCCACCACATCCCTTCCCAGCCCAGGGACCCTCAGGCAGAAGCCTGCTATACTCACGTCGTAAAGGCTGGGTTATACTTCGCACCTCGGTAGTAGGAGTACAGGTTGAACATGCCAATCATGAAGGCCACAAACACCATGATGAAAATGACCATGAACTTGAAGATGTCCTTCACGGTCCTCCCCAGGGAGATCTGCAGGGGTCCGAAGCTCTCATTGGCCGGCAGGATGTAGGCAATGCGTGAGAAGCTCAGCACGACGGCAATGGCGTACAGCCCCTCCGAGATGATTTGGGGGTCGGAAGGCCACCACTTGTCCCTGGCTACAGGGAAATCACTGGGTCAGTCGCGGCGAGCGGGATCCACCTTAGAGAGGTGTCTAATGCATCCCTGGCCATACCTGCCTTTGTCCTTAAGTCAATCCAGGAGCTGGATGATACCACCCTTTCTGGGAACGTGCTGGTCTGTCTGCCTGGAGCATCTTTCCCTGCCTCACGTCTCGATCCTCCCCTGCTCCCACAGCCGGGCAGACGCCCTGATCCTCGGTAGTTCCTGGGGTCCTCCCGTGCACACCCGTTGCAGACCTGCCACACTGCCTGCTGCCTGCATTGCCCGCACACAGTGGCCGTGCTGCCACTTCACCAGCAGGTGGCAGCAGAGAGCGCGGACTCGGGCAGGCGGGACTCGGCTAGTCTGAGTCTCGGGCCTCCTTTCCTGCTCCGTCAAGAGGGGATGAAATCAACGCCCTGGGTTGTTGTGCTGAGGACGGAGTGGAATCATCCATGGCCAGGGCTAGCCTCGGGTCTGGCACACAGCACACTGAGAAATGCTGGCCAAGTGATGGAGTGAGCTCTTAGCCGCAAGAGGCGACTGGTCAATAAGGCAGATGTGACCTCACGTGAGGACCAGGACTGGAAACCAGAAGAACCTGATTGGGGAAAATTCTCTTGGGTTTTGTTCTGGAGCTGCTGTGTGCTGAGAAATGTGCTCCCAAATGGAGCTGAGGCCCGCGAGCAGGCAGGTGGACCAGGCAGGCTCTGTCCCCTGTGGGCAAGAGTGCTGGGAGACAGGGTGAGAACTTGGTTGGTGGTCGCTGGTCCCCACCAGGGTTTCCACTGCCTCTAGGGGTATTTCTGCTACTGAGCAGACCTGCCAGCGTGTTCCCACCGCAGTGCCAGTGCCAACCGTACAAGGACTAGAAAGCTGGGCCATCTGCTGTGAAGGAGAGGGTAGTGCTGGCCTCCTAGGGGAAGGGTGTGGTTGTCACAACAGCTATGCAGGGGTTTGCCTAGGCTGCTCACGTTCTAGAATGTTGCAGACATCTCTGCAGAGGACGGCTGCCCTGCTGGAAAAGCCAACAGCATTCCCAGTGAGAAAACACTAAGGAAAAACACATTGAAAAACATCGAGAGACCTGAATTAGCTCTCGTGCTTGCACTGGCTGCAATTTTCACAACAGCCCTGTGGAGTGGATATTATGATTGCCATCTTTAAGATTGGATTTGGGGTATGGGGTCCTGTTCAGGGCCTGGGAGATGCAGCTAGCAGAGATATTACATAGCAATTCTTGGCACCCCAAGGGAGTTGGAGGAACAAGAAACATACTCTCTATTTTCAAAGCGAGGCTCTGTTAAATAATTATAGAGAGCGGTAAGAAGCTCACAGTAAAAGCCAGGTCCTGAGTTTCATGTAGTGCATTCCCAATGACATTTGAAAATAGAACAACATTACAGACTGTTCGTATCAAGACCATAAATCGAAATGACAGGGAGAACAAATGCTGTGCTCTCCAATATCTTATCCACTTTCTTTGGATAAATAACACACGTGGGTACCATGAAGCAGGCTCCGACTTCCTCTGTGCACAGACACCCAAGAGGACTCACTCCTTCCTGATGCCTGTAATTGCTTATCCTAAACCTGGGCTATCACCGTCAAAGCCACTGCTATCACCTCTTCGGACAAATCCAGCTGCAGGCCAGGGGGAGAACTTTGTGGAAAAGTATCCTGCTCGGATTGTTGGTCTGGGATAGAGCCTGGGGGGAGATCGAGCAGCACCATGCTGATTCAGACAGCGGGGTTTTCTTCTTGGCGGTATTTCCAGGGGAAAACACTGCCCCCGCAACCCGAATTCCTGGCCGCTCCCACCCACGGGCGCTGTGGGGTGGAGGTTGGCCCGCCACTACCCAGCTGACCACAAGAGGGCGCCCTTTGTCCATGCCTGAGACTTCTGCCAGCTTTCCAATGGCATCCATGAACCACCCAAGCAAGGACGCGGAGAAATGCCACGTACAGAGGGCTAGCCGGCTCAGCTGGTGGCACTGCAAGCGTTACTGCAGCGGGAGACACAGTGGAAGGCAGTCTGTACTGCAGTACCGAGGTCCTCCCGCCTTTAGGAGGGACACCGAGGAGCCCGGATTTGCCAAGCCGGGATGCAGTGGGGGTGGGAGATGGGACGGTTGATTGGGGTTTTCCACCACATTTACAGGTAACGTGCTGTACACGGAGAGTGGGCAGCCCTCTGCACACCACTGCAGAGTGAGGTCCCAGGAGCTGGCTCGTGTCATCCAGAGGGATTTTGGACACTCGGGGTATAGCAGCTGCCATCCACACGTACCTACGATGTGTCCAGCTCCTGTTGGCAAACAACACACCTGCTGTCCCTCCGCTTTCTTGTCTGTTTTGGGACAGAGGATAGAAAAGGGCTCTTGTGGGAATGACTCACCAGTCAGTGAGCACTTGGTGTCTGCTGATAACGTTTTATTTGAAACTCAGCATTAAATGGAGGCTGAGAAAATGTGAGGCAGGCAAGCTCTCCCAGCCAGCCACAGGAGTGGGGTGCGACTCCGGGCAGGCCTAGCCTGAGCATGAGTTTCATTTCCCAGCAGACACAAGGCCAGCTTGTGTCCCTGACCACTCGGTGGCCGCTGCCGCGGAGGCTTGCTGCTTTTTCTGTCTCACACAGGGGAAGTTAGAGACAGTGAAATCCTTTCGACACAGCTGGGTGCTCTAGCCATGACTCTCAGGCCTCTGAAAATCTCAGCCAACGAACTCCAAAGAATGAAGGCTTCCGCTGGGCACTGACCTTGATGGGGACTTTGAACATAAAGCATGGCCTCTAAGACACAAGGAAGCGTCTTTAGTGCTCCCAGAGCTGCCTAGGGAGCGAAGCATTTCTTAAAGAAAGCAGTGGCTGCGGCCTGTCCTAGGGACGGACCTGGCGTCCATACTGGACACTCCAGCTCCAGCGTCCTGCTGACCCCCTGAGGCAGCAGCGAGGGGGCCAGCAATCAGCTTCCTATGCCTGGCTTTGGTCTCTGTCTCCGCCCCCTCTCCTTCTAAAACTAAACTTGAAAGATAATTTAGTGGAATCCTTTGGAGGGGAAGGGGTCAGAGACCCACCAGCCGGCCCGCGGCACATCCCCCGCGGTCGCAGGACTGGGCGCCTGCCGGAAGCGCGAACGCTTGAGGCCGCGCTGGCCGTGGCCCCTCCGACTCACCGTAGGTGAAGTACGCGACCTCGGGCGGAAGCGAGACGTTGTGCAGCGTGTCTTCCGGCACGTGCTGGTCCACGTAGAGCTGGGCCTCGCTGGCCTTGAGGAAGGCCATGAAGCGCGCCGTGAAGGAGGCCACGAAGATGGACAGCATGCCGAAGTCCAGCAGGTTCCACAGGTGCAGTACGTACTCGCGCGGCCCCTCCTCCCAGATCTCCTTGCACTCGGACCAGATCATGCCTGTGGGACACGGGAAGGCCCGGGGGTCAGTGCAGGCCGGCCCGGCCCGAGGGCTAGGGCGGCCCTGACAGGGCGGACGCCCCTTCGGCCTCTCCGCCCTCACAGGCCTCTCTCTCCCCGAGGCAGCGGGGGCTCCTGGCGGCCAGCAGAGGCCCGGGGGGTCAGTGCAGGCCGGCTCGGCCGAGGCCCAGGGCGGCCCTGACAGGGCGGACGCCCCTTCGGCCTCTCCGCCCTCACAGGCCCCTCTCTCCCCGAGGCAGCGGGGGCTCCTGGCGTCCGGCAAGGCTCGCGGGACCTGGAGCTAAAAGGTGAATTTACTGCAAAACGTTTGAAACTCATGCGTTGCCTTTAAAAAAATAATACACATTTTCCCTGGGCTTTTTGAAGACTCCTTGAATGCCTTTTTTTTTTTTTTTTTTTTTTTAGATTGGCAGATTTGTATGTGTGGCTTTCATTTTTATTTATTTATTTTATTTCATTTTATGACACACTTTTATAGGCTCTGGGATTCCCCCGACCCCTCCCCAACATTTAAAACAATTTTTAACTGGCATGTTTTAAGGAATCATTCAGTTAGGAGTTAAAGGAAATTGGAGAAGCCCCAGTAAGAAAAACAGCTTTTCGGAGGGCTCCGTTCGCCTGACTCCCGAATGGGGCGCTCTTGCCTGTATCTCCGTGACTTTGTCAGAGATGGTTAGTTTGGGATTATTGACTGTTTTTCTTCCCCTTTGGTTATTTAATCGTCTTTTAAGGGTAAATGTCTTCCCGGCTAGATGACAGACCACATGCCTCGGCTTGTCCCAGCCGGCTCTGTGAGTGGCTAGGTGTGTGTGCCGGGCCTGTGTCCTTCCTGACCTGCGTGGTCCAGTGCTGTAGCCACGTGTGGCTCCTCGGCAGCTGGAACAGGACCAGTCCACACTGAGGACTCCTCTCCTCCCCCCATCCCTGTTTGTTTGTTTGTTTTTCCTAGTGAAATTGGCCCACCCACTGAAAGGAATTGGAATGGTTTTCTTAGGAGAAGAGTAATTTAGAGCAGCTATTTAGAGAAGTGTCATGGTGGTTTGATGAAGAGAAGCATTTTTCTGTCAAATTGCAGCCTCCAAGGCAGGAAATATTAAAGATTACTGCAGGAAATATTAAAGAATACCACAGGTTGGTTTGCAAGACACTCTGCCACACCCTCCCCTCTCCCCACCCACCCCGACCCTTTTCTTAACAGAGCCCCTTCTTAAGCCTGCCCTGTCAGAATTTGTGGGATAATTCAGTGAAATAATAATTTCCTTGCTGCTAAAATGTACTTTCGTGTGTGCCTGTTCAAATTGGCATTTTAAAAGTGTTATTAGAAAAACCATTTCATGCCGGGAAAAAAACATTTCCTCTCCCTCAGAATTAAAATTGCTGCTGTCGTAGAACTGCCTTGTAGCCAGGCAGGAGGAGAGCCACACACTGTCGCATTGAGGGTAGGGAACTGTGGGTTCAAGTTCTAGCTTGGCCACTGACTCCTGGCTGTGCGGCTTTGGGTAAGTCTCTTGCTTTGTGGATGGAACTCGGATTTTATACTTAGGGAAGGAATGAAATGAGGTTGTGGGGGTGACTTCAAACACAGAAAGCTGTATGAATTTTAAATGCAAACTATTTACAGAAAACTGACTTTTCTGACCGATACAGTGGCTGGTTCATTGGGCATTGCAAATCTCTTCCTCCATGGTCAAATGCTTGTACCAGTCTTCCTCAATTTAAATATGAACTTACCCAGACTAATTTAAATTATTCCAAGGCCATAAGTAAAATAACAAGGGCCCAAGGGCTTGAGCAGCAGGAATGCTTAATGAAAAAAGAAATGTGTGAAATTAGACACTTCAGTGAGTGAAATGAGGCCCCTTGCTTCCAGGGTTCCAAGGGTGGTTCAGCATCTTCTGTCCACGCTGGGCTGCTCCGGTTTTTGTCTCCAGCATCAGGGAAGTTGTTTAGAGCTCCGGGGCTCAGGGACAAGGAGGCTGGGCACCTGCCACTCCTTCATTCAAGGCTGATTCCTTCATTCAAGGCTGCTTGTTGCTCAGAGAGCAAGGTCACTGATAATTGAGGAGGGGACCTGGCCCAGGACCCCTTTGGAAAGTTGCTGAAAAAGTAAATTGCTTGCTGTCAGCAGGTGCTGAGGCCTGCACCTTGGAGAGCCAGAGCCTCCCAGTTCAAAAGGTGGTTCTTCCTGTTACTGAGTCAGGCCGCTTAAGCAGGGTGCCCCATCAAAGTCCTGAGAAACTCCAGTGTGAAGGCCTGTACACCCACGGTCATGGCTCCTGGGGCTTCCTCTGCACTGTCTCAGCCCCCTGGGTCTGCGTCTTGGCTTCCTCAGGCAAGCTTCTTCCCTTTGGTCCTGGACATGGCTGTCTGGTGAACTCAGGTGGTAAAATAGGCTCAGAAGCTACCAGACCACAAGGATTATAACATCCAAACCCACCCTGCCACAGTGGCAGAACCTTGGGGACAAACCTAGCGTCAGGTGTGTTCAAGGTTCAAGATAGTAATCTATTTAGAATCTGCCCAGCAAGGCTTTCCTCCTCCTCCTCGCTGGTTGTAACACACAGCAATTGTTGAGTACCTTGGGTGCCAGGCCCTGTGCTAAGCACTTTGTGTATTAGTCTGAGAAATAGTGACTGCAGTGAACCCAGTTTGCAGATGAAGAATCGTATATGAAGGTGGACTATGAGTTGTTCCAAATCACACCAGCAGTCCTGGATCCTTGCTGTCCACTGTTACGCCTTCTCCCATTTCCTCTGAAAGGCACAAGTGTACTTTCACTGATCAGGTACTCATTCATGTGCCTAGGTGATGTGGTTGGGTTTACCTCTCTGCCAGGCACCTCTCTCGGGTCATAGCAACCAAGACAATGGCTGCTTTCCCAGCAAGCATAGTCTAGTGCTGCACACAGGTGCGCCCATCCAGGGCAGTGCTGGAGGGTGGCAGCTGCTGTCATGAACAGTGCCCAGGGGACTGTGGAGCTGCAGGGGTTAGAGGGCCATCTTTGTGGTTATGGGGCTCAGCAGAGTACTGGGTGTGCCATAGATCTCTTGACTCAGTGAAGGGGTGGATTCATGGAAGAGGTGACACTTGGAGTGATGAGCCAAGAGTCAGGGAGGGGAATGGTGAGGAACTGGCAGGCTATTCCAAATGGTGGCCATGGGAGTGAGGGAGAGCGGGCCCTTCCTGGTACGGTGTTCAGGGTGAAGGAGTGGGGTTGGGGCATGTCTGCAGGTGAGACCAGTGAAGGCCGGGGGGACACTGGGCAGCTTCTACTTTAGCTCATGCTCAGGGAGCTGGGGCTCACCCTGATGAACAGGACACAGACACATCTTAGTTGCTGGGAGGAGCTTTGGCAAGTTGGTGGTAGAGTTTACCTGGGAATCAGCTAAGTCAGTGAAGACATCGTTATGAGAGTGCATTAGGAAGGAATCCCCCACTCCCCTCCAGATTTTAGAACTTTACTCCTGGCCCAACCTGAATGTGTGATTCTGGAGCTAAGGCTTGGCTTGAGTCTCAGATGTTTTACAATCTTGAGTGGTGTGGGTGAGGGAGCAGCTGAGCTCTCACATTTAGCAGATGTGAGCATGGATTCAGAGGCAAAGCCACTGAAGAGGAAGGGACACGGTCAGGCCTGGGTATTCGGTCCCAAGCTCTTTCATCTTATCCCAGGTTTTAAAATGCATTTTTCTACTGTGTTAGGCATTTATACCTCCGACCACCAACTGAATTTCCAATAAGGAGGTATCTGTTTAAGAAGCAACAGTCTTTTCTAAGAAGTCACCAATCACAAGGCAGTCAAAGACAAAATAAACAAATGGAACCATGTCAAACTAAGACGCTCCTACACAGCGAGCGAAACGATCAGCAAACCGAAGAAGCAGCTGACAGAGTGGGAGAGAATCCTTGCACACCACCCAACTGTTAGGAAACTGATATCCAGGATATACAAAGAGCTTCAGAAAAGGACAGTAAAACAAACAACCCTGTGAAGAAATGGGCAAAGGAAATGAGCAGACATTTTTCAAAAGAACAAATTCAAATGGCCAACAGACTTAGGAAAAAATGCTCAGGCTTCCAAACTATCAGGTAAATACAAATAAAAACCACACTGAGGTTCCGCCTAACTCCAGTGAAATTGGCCTACATATGGAAATCTGCTAACCACATCTGCTGGGGTGGTTGTGGGGAGGAAGGCACCCTCTCCACTGTTGGTAGGAGAGTAATTCCTGCCAGAAAAATCCATGTTCCTTTGCCTCCTGGATGCTGTGTTGTCCTGGGTTTCCTTCCCACCTCTCTCTCTTCTTACCCCCCCTGCTCCTGTGCCTGTGGTTGAGATATCTTAGACTGGAGCTGGCAAGTCCCTAAGAGTTTTGAGGAGAGAGTGACAAGTTGGGGTTCTGTTCAGAGTGGATCCCTCTGGCTCCTGCGTTGAGAAGAGACTGAGGCGTGGGGGTGGGAGGGGTGGAAGCAGAGTGACTGGCGAGGCCAGGCACCTCAGTTGCCAGGCCCTTCGTCTGAGAGAGGAGCAGACTGAGCTGGCAAAGGTCTAGAGGCTCCTGTCAGCCGCAGAGAGGGTGCTGATAGAGTGGGAGTAAGGCTTTGGGCATTTATACAACCGAGTGTCCAGCATACTGCAGTTGTATGTGTAGTATGTCCTGGGAGAAAAGAGTTAAGCATTTATGTTTCTAGATGATACAAGGCCTTCCTGGTGTCTGGGAGTCCACATCCCTGGCACAGGTGTCTGATGCAACATCAGCTCCTCATGCCTGAGCACAGTGGATCAGGTGCAGGATGGGGGGTATGTCAGCACAGAGAACCTTCTCTGCATGAACACAAGACTCAGGTGTTTTTCTCCAAGATTATTATTGTTTTAGTAATAAGGAGGTATTTAAGATAAGAAGATGTTAGTTTTAGATACCTTCCTCCTTAGTACCTGCTACAGTACCTGTGAGATATAGATAATATATGAAAATATAAAATAAATATTTAACATGAATGACACACAGACACACATGTGTGTGTATGTGTACATTATGTGCTTAAAAATGGGAGCATATTTAGTGACCAAAAATATGAGAAAATAGAAATTTTCAAGAATTTCTGCGTGCTCCCAAGTTCCCTGGTCTTTCAATTCCACCTTCCCTTCTGTCAGTGATAAAGTGTCCATCTTTCTGATAAGGCCACATCTTCTGCTTGCATGGATCTCCTCGCTGTCACCCACTCAGGTGTCGGCCTCACGGTGCTGCAAACAGCAGCATTCCACATACGTGATCACTCCCTGGTGCCTGATAGAGTTACTTGGATTGGCTTGTGCATCAGCAGCATTGGCCTTCTTCCTGCCCCAGTCTCTTTTGCTGGTTACTTAATCTTTCTGTACTTGAGCATTATTGTACCCTAGGGCTTGGTTATCAATTCGTCTGTCCACATTTTCAGTCATGGTCATCTCATATAATTTGTTTTACACATACCAGTATGCCAAAGTTTATGATGGAATTTGAGAAAGTTTTTGATAAATGAAATTAAAAATGAATTTGTTTTGGTGCAGAAAGTTTTAAAATTCCATACTTTTAAAAAATAATACGTGTTTTCATCAACTTTTTATTTTCATAAAAGTGCTGTTTAGTATCTTCAGCCCAAATCTTTCCTCTAAATTTCAGAGTTGCATATCCATTGTTAACTTGACATTTCCACTTGAGTGTCTAATATGTATTGATTTCAAATTGAAGTCTTCACTTTGATCTCATCTCCCTCTTCAGAGCTGCTCTCCACATTTTCCCATCCTGAATGACTTTCTAGGTACCATGACTCAAGCTGAAGCACTTCACGTTGTCCTTGGCTGCTCTGCTTCTAATAATTGAATAGTAAATTTAACTGTTTTTTTGCCTTCAGACTGTAATTACCACCTAACCACTTCTTCAGACCAATCATTTCCTGTATGAATTATTGCAGAGGTCCCCTAATTGGTGTCCTTGCTTCTGCTTTTGTCCTGTAATAATTGTTTTTCTAGACAAAAGTCAGTGACTCTTGAAGAACTGAAATGATATGATGTTGTTTTCTCACTGTAAATTCTGTGAAGGCCACCTCTCTGATCTCCTTTCGACCTCCACTTCTTACTCAGCTCCTCTGGCCATACAGCTCTCTTCACTATGTCTTGGAAATGTCCGGCTTGCTCCTGCATCTGGGCCTTGGCACATGTTCTGTCTGCCTGGAGTCACTCGTGTTACCAGAGGCAGCAAATAAGAGAGTGTGTTTCACCGCCTAACTATTTTGATAAGGTAAAATCTGACCAGAGAGCCGAGGAAAGGAAACAAATCATGTGGCTATTTTTTCAGCCTATCAATGAAAGAGATTTAATTACCGACTAAATATTTAAAACACTAGTTTTCTGTTGTGTTTGACAATGTTTATCTGGTTTTGCTTTAGCTAAAGTTTCCTGATTTCTGTTACCAGCCATGATAGAGTGACAAGCAAGCAAACAAACAAAGAAAAAAGCAAAAACGTGGGGAGCAGGCAGCAAAGGCCTGTTATTCCTAAACCGTGTGGTCTGTAGTGCACGAGAGGGAGCCTGGAAGCATATCAGGCTTTCTTACTGAGTTGAAGAGACAGAGAATAAGTTCAGGAAAGTGGAGATGGTTAGAGGTGATGTGGCACAGCTCCAGGGAGAAAGGCATAATGCAAAAGCAAACAAGCAAACAAAAACTACACAGCTCACTCCCAGTGACAACAGCAAAAAGACTCCAGAAATTTAATTAGGAGATCTTTTGAATGTTTGCTGGCATGCACACATAGGGTGAGATTGCCTGAACAGCCAGAGAGCAGTAAGACTGAACAATCTGAGCTCTGCCCGCACAGAGTTGATGGCGGAGACGCCAGCAGTGCATGGGACAAAGATAAATAATCGCATGGCAGAGTTTCCCCAGAGGTACTCTAAAAAAAGTTTGCTCTGAAAATAATGCCGACAGTCTGTCAGTGCAGAGCGCTCTTCCCAGGAAGACAACAGAGTCGAGATGCTCCATAGAAAGTGCCCATCATTCAGTCAGAAAATGTCAAGGAGCAGAAACATTGACCATAACCAGCAGAAAGATGAGGCAAGAGAAACCAACTCAGCGATGACAGAGATGATGGACCCTTGAAGGAGTTAATATAAATACACGTGTGTCCAGTGGTTTAAGGAATACAAACATGATGAAGAAGCAGATGGGAGCTAGAAAGAAAATAAGATCTCAGATTTAACTAGATAGTATCTTCCATGAAAAAAATTCTCTGCTTGGGATTAAAATCACAGACACTACCAAGAACGCTGAACAGGAAGCACACAGAAAAGATTAGAAAAAGAGAACTTTTAGTAACTTGCACAACAGTGCTTACATATCCAGCTTTATGATTTCTCGTGTTTACCTCGCAGTAGTTCAGATTAAGGAGAAGGAACTGGGAGATGAACAGATGAAACCCAGGCCAGCCATGACGTGCTTCTTGTTGAAGATGAGGGATGGGTTCGTAGGTTCCATATGCTCTTCTGTTGATTTTGGCATTGTCATAAAGACTTGATATTATAAATGATACTGAGCTTCTGAAACTTAGCAAGGAGATCACTGAACGAGAAGTTTGTCCTTGCATACTATTTCTGATTTGGCATCCTGGAGAACCAGGCTGCTCCTAGGTGGATGGAAGCTGGAACCAAGTGTGCCCAGTTTTATTGCTCTGGCTCAAGATGCATCCCATGCCCTGGGGTGATATCTGATACTGAGGACAGGGGATGAAGCATCGTGGTTAGTCAGGAGCCATTAACCTGGGGCAGCCCTGCTTGCTCCAAGTGAAGACCAAGGAGGGTTGCATCACTTTCCTGGGGCCCCAGAGTGAAAGGAAGAATGGTCACTGGTGCCATTTGTATTTGAAACTTTAATTTATAAATCCAGTGTGTGAGGGTTTTTTTTTTTTTTCTTTTTTACATGCCTGCTGTGAAAGTGCTTACAACAGACCAACTCTGGAACTGTGGCAGATATCCTAGGAAGAACTGAGGGCTCTGAACTAAGAAAGTTAGGCTGCAGAACTCATTCTGGAACAGGTTTCTGTGTGTTCCTTCTGTACTTTAGTGCCCATGACTCTCCTGTAAGAGACTTGAACTGCTGGCTTGCTGGTCAGTTCTAGTCTTCGTGAACCTGCCCTCGGCTACGCTATCCTTCCTCTGCTCCTTGATTAAACCGTCCATGGCCTCTCTCTGCCTGTTCAGCACAGAGACAGTCTCGCAGGTGTTCTCAGCCTGCTCATAAATCATGTGCTCTCGTGGTTCCACTCAGCATAGTAAAAATTAGCACTCTGAAACTTCACTTAGCAGTCTGTGTGGTATTACCTCTTAAAGTATTTATTCATTTGTGATCTTGTGGACTGATAGCACGAGCATTCCAACATGGGGTATTTTTGGGCTTGATGTTTGTATGGAATGTTTGTCAGGAAAGCAAAATTTGGGGTGAAAACCATTAAGTCAGTTGAGTTAATTGGTCACATCCTTGTTTTGTGCAGTTGAAATTTTCATTTAAAAAATCTATGGTTTTATTAAAAAGATTCCCATCAAATAAAAAAATTTGATGTATACATTACAAATTATTGGTAGGTTTTAGTTGTTTGTAGTTTCACTGATCATGAGTTTTATAATATTTCGTTTGGTTCTACCAACACTGATCATTCTTTTGCCAACAAATTTTATAGTTTTTAGTGCAAATATTTGGCACGCTTTCCCCTCTTCAATTTTAGCCATTGCCGGTTTTATTTAATTTTGCTTATTCCCACTAGTACTAGTTCTTACAAACTGGGTAAGAGAGAGGTAGCCATTCTTAACTGATCAGCAAGGACACTGGGACAATTTGCTGGACAGTTCAGTGGCAGATCTCAGCAGCATGCATGTCCCAAGGCTTTTAGGAGACTGCATTTAAATAACTAAACTAACATATTTTCCATGCAAAACCACTGTATGGTTTATTTCCAGTTTTGTATAATGGAAAAACATTTAATGAAATATTTTTCTCAAACATTTTCTTTCAAAATTGGAGTTTCTGTGCCAGTCAGTATATCTTTTACAGCAGCACCTGTAAAACCAACGACCTGACCTTTGTCACTCACTGTTTTGTCTGCCCACAGTGCTCTTGAGAAGAGAGGGGCAGTCTGAAGTCAGAGCGCAGCACTGTCCTATCCTGTCAGAGTTAGGGGAGGAGAGAATCAAAGCAAGGCTTGCTTACCCAGCACCCATTTCATAATGAGCATTTCCGTCCAGGAGAACTGTGTGGTTTTCACACGGAAGATCTGTTTCGGGTAGTCCGTGAAGGTTTCATTTGGCAGCGTTTTAATGCCTTCAAATCGGTCTGAAGCATTCACAACCAACAATCCCAAGAAGATTGTAAAAGAAACTGCATGGGCTACAAACTTCATGAAAGGGCTCCTCAGGGTTCGTCCTAGCTGGAAACAAAATGCGTGGGAGATGAGTTAAACTGGCGACTCCTGGTGACTGCACGTCTCTATAATGCTGAGTTTACCGCAGCCTAACTGGAGCATCCCCTGTCTAAGACAGACAGCGCTAACCGAACACGGACAACAATTCTCCCTTACATGTGTGTGGAAAGTGCTATTTTTTTCTACTGATTTCACTTTTTTCCTGTTTAGAGGACATGCTGGGAGGGGCTAAGAGAACTGAACAGAATACACTGAGTTGCCATCACATCAAGTCTGCTTGCACAAAGAGCCCCCGGCCACATGGATATGAATTGTGTGCCTTTCAAATCAGGGAAAAACAGTCTATGTGAAAAAACTTCCCAGCTTTAAAAAGTGCACTGAGGAGATGGCTGTGCTCTTCCCTCAACTTGGTTGGGCCTTTTGGTTAGATGTTTGGTCTTTCTTGTGTCTTTGTAAGTGCGGTTCCTTTGCTGCTGGATACTGCTGTAGGTAGGTGCGTTCTAAGTATTTAATAGTATCTCTCTTTATTTTTAACTCAGGGCTTATTTGGCTTCCAGACCTATAGGATGAAATATTTTTTTTTCCTGCTTTCACAGGTTCTAATTTTATTTGCAGCCTATTTACAGAACATAGCTACTAGACACTATTCTAAGATTTATTGAGATTTTCCTTGTGGCCTAGGGCACAGGTGAGCTGTGTGTTGTTTGTTCTAGACAGATGGGCAACAGCCAGGAACTGCCCTCGGAGGCAGTCAGTATGGCTCCTGTGCCCTCTGGTCAGGGTGTCCCGCAGCCCAGTGCTGCACAGGTGTCCTTGCTGACCCCCAGGAGTCTCTTCCCTGCCATTGACGTCCTCCCCACCTAGGTGTCAAGCCTTCCCTCCCACTCAGATGAATTGATAAGACACAAGGAAAGGGGGGAACATTTTAAAAGTTCGGCTCCTTCTTCAGGGTAGATGTTCCATGAGAACTACCAGCTGGTTAATGGACGTTCGCATCCTTCTTCATCCAGGATTCGTTGGGGGAAATGTCATCTGGCAGAGGGGTTGTTGGCTCGATAGGGGGTAATGACAGGAGTTCCTTTAGGTGAAGTCCCCCTCATTGTGACTGTCCAACAGAACATTTATTAATCTGATTTTAATGTGCCTTGGTATGGTGGTCACCACTTTAATTATTTAAGTGATTAGTATAACATGATTTATTATGTTTCTGATGGCTACAATCCCTGTATTGAAATAGGAAAAGTAGTTTTAAACTTGTTTTTTTTGGTTGTTGTTTTAGAAAGCTGAGCCTCAGGTCGTGACATTAAAAGTATTGGGCAGTATTGGCGTACATGGGTATTTATCTGTGACAATCATAGACTCACAGATGTGTTACTGATAAGGCTTCTATACAATGCCCAACTTTTTTATTTATAAAAACAGGGACTGTAGAATTGGTGTTTTTTTTTTTTTTTTACCATGAATCAAAGGTGCTAATCTCAGAATACAGAGGTTAAATGTGAGGCCAGATAATATATCTCACATAAAATTAGTTTAAAAAGTGGGGGGCTTTGTATGTCTCATTTTGAGTTGTATGTCAAATAGCTAATTTGAATTTTTCAACATTTTAGTTATTTTAAAGTTTTAAGATTCACGTGTAATACTGAAACATCTTCATGGGGCTTAATGTAATTTCTCAGCACACACATACAGTGTAAACTGATCCACTCAGGTCATTAGCATTTCCATGATCTCTTCCTTATATTTAGAATTTATGAGCTCTGAAGTTTTCAACATGCTAATAGTGCTGTCCTGGTGCCCCGTTTCCCAGGCAGGACCTTGGAATACATCAGGGTTGTGCTGGAGACATTCTCAGTCATTGTGGAACATGTTGTCACCCACTGACCTGAGGTGGTAAAGGGACATGACAGAACATGGACTTCAGGGAGGAGAGCAGGGGAAAGTAGGGGACCAGTCTGTGTGTCCAGAAGAGTCCCCAGGAACGCTGACACAGACACAACTGTTGTGGGGGCATCCTGATCCTTTATCTGCATCTGTATGGTGTTTTCCGGGTCCACCTGGTTGGGAGTGTAGCGTGCCCCTCTCCATCTTGTCACCTGGGTGAAGCATCTGAATCCTGGGATCTACCTGCACCTGTCCCTCGAGGGGCCGGGATTGCCCAGAAGACTTGGTTTGAAGAATGGAGTATTTCTTTGTTACCTGTTTTAAGTTGTTAGCTTCCTGTACAGGATTAGTCAAGAAACATGATTATGTTTACTGAAAATTCTGATGGAAAGGTATAGGTAATGCCCTGTGGTTGTTTAGCGTGGACTCAGCTCCTCACTTCATCGGGGTCTCAGGGGGTGAAAGTGAGCTAAGGAGAGGGAAGCCCCCCGTCGCCCCCCCGCCGCCATAAGTGGCAGCATTTTGCACTTTGATATGGGTCTGATGAGCTCCAGACATTTCAGTGCTTCTCTCTCTTTTTTCTTTCTTTCTTTCTTTTCTTTTTTCTTTTTTTTTTGTGATGTTCCCTACTTTACTCTCAAAGATTATTTTTGAAGCAAATTGCTCTTGGGGAAAACATCTCCTTTTATAAAGTTGCCAGATGAGTCAAAAGAAAGGAGAAAAGTCAGCTAGTATTTGCCAGCAGCTCTGAGCTGCAGAGTGATTCAGGATGGGTCAAGTGACGGCTCTAGGCATGAAGAGAGGCAGCAGAGCTTCAGGAGAGGAGCATGCTGACCGCTGTGCCTGGAGAGCCTGAAGCGCAGGCCCCACGGAAGGCCAGGCGTCACCAGGAGCCTGTGAGTTGAGACCATTTTAGGAAATGCAAGCTTTCAGAACCCAAGTCTCTGGCTCACCTCCAGCTTTTTGGGTACCATTTGGCTACCCTGGGAAATACTCGAGCATGAAAGCAACTAAGTTAGCCTCAGATGACTTGATCCCCGGACACTTGGTGGGGTGGAGGGCATCTGCTTTTGTTGGTCTGCACGACCCTGTGTCTCATGCCGCTGGGCCTCGCCCAGAATGACAGACGTAAGCACTGACAGACCTGGTGGCCTCACAAGCTAGGGACATGGCTGGAGCTGTGGTGAAGCATAACGTTTCCTGCATCCCTTCCTAGGCCTGTACTACCGAGTGCCCGTCTGAAATGTTACACTCACTGTTTGCCAGTGGTGTCAGGCAGGGGCTGAGTTCACAAGTTATAAAACTGAATGCAGGCAAACTTGGGATCAAGCCTTCAGTGAAGAAGTGTGGCCACTTTTAAAATTGAGTGGTTCTCAAAATGTTAGAGAGATCCTGATTAAAGTGATGTATTTCTCAATAAGTCCCCTATCCCACTGTCCCCAATTCTTGGAACGTTTAAAGTAGAACTCTACTAGGTATCACTAATGTGGGTGTTCTTAATAACAGTGTGAACCCACACTCTGTCCTGGGGGCTTAATAGGTATTGGATGATAGTAAAATTTACAAAGTTGGGCTCAAAAGGAAAGAAAAGGAATGGGCATGGTTTGTCACATGGTAGTTTTGACTTCTTTCTATGAAAGTCCTGACAATTCTCAAGATCTGATTCAGGTACATTCCAAGGTCATCCAGCTAAGTGAGCTAAGGTGTTTACATTAGGAGTTGAAGGTTGTAACATAGATGTGATATGAATATAGATGTGTGTGTGTGTGTGTGCGCGCGCGCATGCCAGGGTAGTGCCCAAAGGTAGATCTCTGGATCAGAGACTTGATTTAAATTTCAGCTGCACGGGTTTTCTGTGGGTTTCTTTATCCTGTTGTGTCTTGATCTTTTGTCAAGGGGGATGAAATTAATTCCAGCAAAGGGACAGGTGCTGGCATTCGTTTTGGACCCAGGGGCAGAAGCACTGGTGTTAGAGGGGCATCCGTGCTCTGGGTCCTGCTACAGAATTTCCATCCATGAGAACGCTCCCAGAATTATATGGAATCTTCTTTTTCTCTTTCCCTTTTCTTTTCTTTTCTTTCTTTCCTTCCTTCCTTTCTTCTTTCTTTTTTTCTTTGTTTCTTTCTTTCCCTCCCTTCTCCCTCCCTCCCTCCCTCTCTCCCTTCCTTCCTTTTCCAGTGCAGCTTTCTGATAGAGAAAGTGTTGGGAGAAACTGGTCTAGGAGGACCTGCCTTCTCTTACTTGGCCCCTGGACCGCCTGGCTACATTAACCCTATTTTACATTGTTTGGCTTTAAAAGCTGCTCTTTCTCTCTTGGTCCTTACTAGGTGCTCATGTTTGGGAGGATGGAGAAGAGGAAATGACTAACACTTTGATATTTCTCCAGGCAAGAATTAGGTCGTGGTAAGGACTGGTAGATTGTGTGCTGCAACAATATCAGTTAGGACTCTAAAATTGTTTCTGCTTCTCCTTGCTTGACTGCCAGGACTAATTTTAAGGATAATTGCACAGTGAAGCCTAACAGGTAATAAAGGAAGTCAGCATCTTCTGTCGCCCATTTAGAATTACAGTGTATGTGTTTCTTCCATGTTGCATGGCACTTACTTCAGCCTAGATCTGCCTGCTGTAGAGCTGCTGGTTGAACCCCCAAAGGGTGGCTGTTACTCTTTTAGCTCTGAGATTTTAATAGGTAAGTAGTTTAAGTTGTGCATCTTGATGGAATAGCAGAGGATGGCAAACAACCTAATTATCCAAAAAGTCCCTTTGTGATGGACTTGTGCCATGGCACAGTAGGTTAAGCCTCTGTTTATGGTGCCATTATCTCATGTGGGCACCAGTTTGAGTCCCAGTTGCTCTACTTCTGATCCAGCTCCCTGCTGATGTACCTGGGAGGGCAGCAGAAAATAGCCCAAGAGGTTAGACTCCTGCACCTTGTGGAACCTGGAGGAAACTCCTGGCTCCTGGCTTCAGACTAGCCCAGTTCTGGCCATTGCAGCCATGTGGGGACTGAACCAGTGAATGTAAAATTTTTGTCTCTCTGTCTCTCTTATGTTCTTTCTCTAACTCTGTCTTTAAAATAAGAATTAATGTATATATATATATTTTAAAGGAGAGCCTTTTGGCAGCTGAACCTTTATTGAGAAGCTAAAGAACTCTGTGGAAAGCCCTAACTTGCAGCCACATAAATATGAATTCATTGTCGTCCCAGCGAGATGCCTTCCTGTGACCCTGTCAGTGATGACATTGGAAAATGACAGACAAAATCCTGGTTTTTTTTCTTGGCCCCCAACATACCTCTCTCATTCTGCAAGCCTTTATTTATCACCATATGTATACATCTATGACTTAGCTACCCCCGCAGCTAACATGTTAGTAAGCTGAACTTTTTTGGATCCTCTTGACTTTGTTACTGTTGATTGAACTGTCTTATCAACCCTCTAGAAGTCTAAGGGTATGTAATAGTAGGATTGACAACCTTAGGAGCTCAATATGAGCGGGGTGATGAGATCATTTTAGCAGGCTAATCAAGTTGTTTTGATGTTTGAAATAGTTTCTAAATTAGGACACCAGTTATTAGGATGTAAATATACCATTCAATTGGAAACAAATTGTAACATTTGCTAGATATTGATAGGCATTAGCCAGTTGATAAAGTTTGGCAGAGAGAGATGTTTTACAAATACATTTATAAAATAATATTGAAGTCTGATTCCTTAGAGGGAAGTTGAATATTAGAACGTGGGATCCATAGAATGGCATTGATTCTGTTGTTGTTGGCATCGCAGATATAGAAAGATACAAGGCAATGACTCCTTGGGAGGCGGGATCTCAGGCCATTAGTAGATTTTTCTGTCCAGCTCTTGGGAGGATGTGGGATGCTTGGCAGTACAAGCTCATGTAAAGAGCTGCTTCTGTCACATGGCAGATGGGGTGTCTTTGTAAACCCCAGCAGAATCACTCCTAAGCTGAAGTGATTTTTTTCTAATTGGTGAAATGAAAGTCAAAAACATATGGGCTGTGTGTACTTTGGCCGCCTTGGAGCAAGTTTGGCAAGCACTTCAATGAGACTCCTTCACCTGAGTGAGCAGGGTCCCTCAGCAGCCATCTTCTGCTAGACTGAGATCTGGCCATCAGCCCCTCGTGTCCCCTCTTGCACTGAAATCTAGGAAGTGCATGGGGGTTACAGGTATTTCAGTGATCAGATAATATTTATTTGGAGCAACCTTATATTTTTAATTTTCCTAGAAGTTCTGAGTACACCAAATGCTGATTACGCATCTGAACAGAGGGGAAGGAAGTACCAGTTGTAGGCCAAAGTGTCCAGCAATCACTTCCTTGTGAATGTTTCAGAAGACTCAGAAAGCTGCTGTCTGTCTCAAGGCTCCCGCTGGTGCTATCTTCCTGAATTCATCTATGGGGGCCAACACGTTCCACAGTTTCCTCCCTGCAACCACATGTCTGCATGTTTGCCAAGATTCTTTTCTAGGCATCTCAGAAAACTACAAAGTCTTCTTCAGCAGCTGGTATCCTGTCTCTGCGCCATCAGGCAGGCAGAGGCACGCCGCTTTGCCGCTGCTGGCTAGCCCCAGGTTCCTGGAAGCTGTGACACTCAGCTTCACAGCAAAAGTGAAAATTGGCAGCATTGTCAACCAGCCAACCAACCAATAAACCTGCCTTCAGCAGCATGCCCGAGTGTTTTCCAAAAGTTCATGCTATGGAAAAAGTATGCATGGATTTTAACCTTTTTTTGGCACAAAAATAAATCTATGGTTTGATCACATTGGTTTTGTGAGGGTTTTAAATTGCCCTTGTGCATTTGAGAAATTCTGATTCAAAGGTCCATGGCATGATAGACTCTTCTAGAAACAAAGATCTTAACAAATGAGTACTGTGAATATTTATAATTAGGCCTTTCATTTTTAATTCTATTTAACAAACGAAAGAGTTCAAGCCCTGACCTCCCTTCGTGCCCTCTCACTTGCTCTGAGGCAGCCGGCTCATTGCCTGTCTGGTGTGAGAGCCACTGCAGCTGTGCCGAAGTCACGGGCCTGTCATTCTGGCATCAGTTCTCTCTAAGTGGAGTTGACAAGAGGGTCATTTTCACTGGTGACTCTTATGTTAACCTCATTAGTGATTAAATTCTTTGTGGGATGAGTCCCCCTGAAGTCATATTTTCTCTACTGAGCATTGATTATCTAAGATTAATTCCTTTTTTTTTTTTAATGTGTCACTAGGTGAATACAGCTTTGGAACCTTTAGTGGCAATCTTTAACTCTTGAAATATATTGCGATACTTCTTTTAGGCCCTGACTCTTGACTGAATCTGGAGTGCTGGCATGCTCTGTAGCTTTGGCTGGGTTGTGGGGACGGACGGTGGAGAAGGCAGCAGGGCCATGCACCTGTAGGATCCATTTATCCAGTCACCAGTGTGAACTTGACATTCCCCTTTGGAAAAAGAACCCAGTCATGTTTTTTTTTCTTTTTTTTTTTTAAGTTGTCTTCTTTCCTTATGACCAGACTAGCTGTTCTTATGGGCCCAAACTCTATCAAGGAAGCCGGAGGAAGTAGGAGGGTGTCATGGTGGGTCTGCAGCACCCACTGGGAGCTGTATTCATTGTAGCCCAGCACATATTTTTCATGTCTGAACAGACTTCATGAAGCACACACATATCATATACTTGAGGTAGATAAATGAGATATCCCATCAAAAGGGCTTCTCAAGCAGAAAGTACTCAGGACCAGCTTGCCTGCTCCACAGCCATGATTGTAATGACCGCATGATGGGTTTTGAGGACATGCATAGCACCCTGGGTAATTAGAAGATGAAGTGTGCCTTTATTCTCTCTGCTCTATTACTGATTTCTTTTTCAGATGATCCCTCGTACATTTAAAATTATCCATTTTATTGCTCTTCTCTCTTTTTAAATGATGAAGAAAAGTAAGTCTTCAGATTTGTCCTCATTTGGTTTTCTACTTCTGCTAAGTATCTCAGAACTATTGTCTTTGAATGTGTAAAGAGCTCAGCTGCTGATTTGAACAGAATAATCTTCAGGTCATGCTAAGAAGAGAGAAAAAATAACCGCCAACGACATGCACCTTAAGCAGTCTGTACCTTGCTGCACGGAGCAATCCAATAGGCTATGGCGAGAAAAGGGAGGCCTATGGAGACTCCAAAGACAGCCAGGAATTTCACAGCGATAGACTGTTGCCGTAAGCCTGAGAGATTTTCATACCACATGGTAAGCAATTGCTGCTGACAGTTAGGATGAGCAACGAACTGTGAAAACAAAAACAAAAACAAAAAACAAAACAAAACAGGAAAATGGCATTGATAGTAGTTGAATTGCATACCACCTAGGGGGAGATAACCAGAATGCTGGAGCCAGAGCGGCTGGGGTGGGTGTCTGCAGAGTCGGGGTGGGGAGGCAGGGGAGCCTGTGCTGCGTCCTCACAGGACTGGCTGAATTGGTGTTCTGCCCACCGAGGGCTGACATCTTTTGGGTTGTCTCCAACTCAGGCTATTGAGTTGAACAGGGACACTTTAAGCCCTGGCAAGTCTGGGAAGCAACACAAAGAGGAATGAGTGGAGCATGGAAAGGCTTTTGGAGATGGACATGAGTCTGAGGTTTGCTCTGCTGGTTACTAGCTAGGTGACTTGGGCTAGCCACTGAGCCTCAGCATTCTCATCTGCAAAACGGACTATGGTTTTGTTTTGGAGGAGTAAATGTTGTAAAAAAGGCTCCCTTCCCTTTTCCCCTGAGGTCTAGGGGCAGAGGCTCACAGTGTTTCCAGAGGCCTGTTTCCATCTTTCGGCATTTCCCTCCTGGATCCTAGTGGTGTTCAGCATGAGTACATGGAGCTTCCAAGGAATATGCCAACACCTTGCATGCCCGTGGTGCCATGCAGTACATGCCTTCGGGGTCATAAGGCACCCTGCTCACCACTGCCACCCTCTCTTGGGACTTTCTGTATAGAATTTTTATATCATGTAACATTGTTTTCCCCCTGCCCTTATCCCACATAACTTATTGGACCCCAGCTATTCCTGTAAGTGTTCTCTCCTGGCATAGTCTGTGAGAGAAGCAGATGCTTTACTTAGGAGGATGTTGACGTGTAATCCTGGAAGATCTGGGAAGTTATCTTCCACTCTGTGGACTGAGCGGCACAATAACTGCATTCTGAAGACGAGGAGAATGAGGAGGTACAGAAAGAAGCTAAGGGCCATCTGACTCTTTTGGGGGCTCAGCTCTTTTCTGCCCGTTATGGTCCAAGCATAGACAAACCCATTGTTCTTTTAGTTGCTCTCATGAAAACATCCCTTTTTTGCACACATTTGTTGCTATGTGGCTATTTATTCATGTTAACCCCAGGTCCAGTCATTAGGCAATACCTAGATAAAATTTGTAACAGTGTAGTCTACATTTGTGAAAAGCAAACACATTAGCTGATCCCCCTGACCCCTGTAGCAGGAGGAAGCCATGCTTTGCTTTGGGCTAGCCTGCCTGTGGGCTCTGTTGAGAACACCCCTGCGGAATGGGAATGTTACATGCCAAGTGCTGGGAAAGACATGCTGACTGGTTTTCAAAGAGGTGACCTCTCAGTTGATTACTCTGGAACATAAAATGCCAATCTCCATTCCAATTGCCTCATTGGATATTAAGAGAACTAAATGTAGAGTGATTCCTGGGAAATGTGAAACCCCCTTTTCATTCTAAGAACAGTATAAATTAAAGCAGTTTGAAAATTAATGCAGATGGTGACCTATTCTTGCCTGCAGTTTCTGAGAACCCACCAAAGTAGGCAGATGTGAAGGCATGCGTAAAGGTTTATTTTGCCCTGCAGTAATTTTTCAATAAAATTATTCAGATGTTGAATGCAGATGAGGTTCTCCTGCAGCATTACTGTCTTCATCCCAACCATTAGGGCCTTTTCCTCTGAGAGTAAGTGCGGTGGGTTCTCCCCACCACTGAGAGGAATCCCCGCCAGCAGGTGCTATGGTGTGCTGGCCATTCTCTGCCTCACACAGCAAGTGGACATGATATAGAGCTTGCAGCGACTTTTAGCATTTAGTCAGAGTGTGCAGGGGGCCAGGCGATTTCATTTTCAACAGCCAGCCTTCTGTCGGTGCTATGGCCCCTCTCAGAGGGTGGAACACATGCCCATGGAACAGCAGGAGATGATGACTTGACTTAACCCGTGGCTTGCTGCACTGCAGCTACTCTGGACCCTTGTCGTGGTCTCCACCATTGGTCTCTCATCTGGATCTGGAAAGAGCCCACACATGCTTTTTCCTCTTCTGCTGCCTCTTTGCAGACAAGTCAGCACTTGTCTACAGGAATCTGAACTATACTGCCATGAACACTATCCCTGCTGCCCCCAGCTTATCTCAGAGGGAGTCAGTGGTCCCAGCTGAACTGGGTGAGGGGTTCAAGGGGGTTCTTCTGGGGCTGTTTCTCTGAATAGACCACTGTAATTTCCTCAGCTATGTTTGTTCCTCCATAATCAGACAACATAGCTGCAGACATGCTGCATACCTGTGGATGGGATTTATGATCTAGTAGTTCAAGAAAGTCAACAGCAGCTGGGAGCCAGAGCCCAGTTGGAAATGTATCTTTATATGGACATGTTTCTGGACTGTGACAGGTCTTGTAAGACAGCTCCCTTACATACGATGCAGTGGGCATCAAAGAATTCTTTGCAGTATGATTTTTGAAGCACAGAAAAAATATCATCCCTGATCCATGGCAAATGAAGGTAGCCAATGAAACACTGTAGCAGGACACAAAGAAAACCTGAGAGAACACGAGGCCAAGGATCAAAGGCAGGCCGAGCTCAGATGGGAGGAGAATTTTCAGAAGCAAGGTTGGAGAGTAACTGTGGGAGAGAAGGCCGCAGCTAGAAGGAAACGAAAGCTCAGAGCGCTGATGTTGTCTGCGGCTGGCTTTCTTTGGCCCTTAAAGGATGGCATGGTCAGAGAGGATGGGTGTCACCTGAGAACTTTCCGAGGCTATCTGTGCCCCACGCCATTCTGGCCAGCAGCACAGCACACTTCAAGGGAAGAGAAGACGTGACTGCCTTTGTTTTCCCTGGAGGCGGTTGTAAATGGGCTGGAGTTGAGGCTGTGTCAGGGTGTGGCAGCATATGGGCCTAAGCAGCTGTTTTTTAAAGAGAAAGCATATCTGTAAATGGCATGCACCATCCTTTGAACTGAGAGAGGAACAGGATGAAGATACATAAAACCATGAGGAGAAGTAGGAGAGTACTCAGGATTTTCTGTAATGGAAATAGGCCTTTGGGTGACCCTGGCTGGGCAGCAAAACCCGAGAGTTACAGGCTGCTGGTCCTCGATTGTTTCCCAAGCCAGTGATCTTGGTGGCATGTTCGTTCCAGTTGTCTTGTTTGATGTGACAACCATTGTGCCCAAAGCTAGTTTCTGCTAGGATTTTTCTCTGACCCTCGTATCCACTTCACTGGTGACTGGCTGGGTAGGATGAGTGGGGACTCTCGGACAGCTGCTGAAGCTTGACTCTTACCTTGCTTTTGTTTTTTGTTGTTAAATATTACTTTATTTATATGAAAGGTATAGTTACAGAGAAGAAAAGACACTCAGAGAGGAAGCTCTCCCATTTATTAGTTCACTCTCTCAATGACTGCATTGGTCCAGGGCTAAACCAGGCAGTCAGGAGTCAGGAACTCCATCTGGGTCTCCCATGTGGGTGGCAGAAGTCCAGCTTGGGCCTTCTGCTGCTGCTTTCCCAGGTACATTAGCAAAAAGCTAGATTAGAAGTGGGAAGCCAAGACTGGCATTCTTGCTCAAAATGGGATGGCTGTGTCACACACAATGGCTTAATTTGCTGTGCCACAGCAATGGTCCCGTCCTCTTTTAATTGGCCCACTAGCTACTATGTGTATTTTATTTTATGGAGGAAAATAATCTTCTCTCATTTTCTCTTCTCTGTATATTCATCCATAAGGAAATGTCTCACTTTAAAAAAAATAGCCGTTGAAGAGCAATGAACTTGCTCTTGAGTATTTTAGGATTGTATTCTGTAACTCTAACACTCGAGGCTGAGATATCCATGGATGACAGAGTGTAAGAGTCCTGTTATGGACAGTTAAGCCACAAGGCTGCTGGGCTCCAAGTCCTAGCCCTGCCGCATGCTGGCCAGCTCGTGGTTCATTCTCAACGCTTCTCATGCTTAGCTTTCCTTCTGTAAAAGTGAAGGAGATTAAATGAATGAGTAAGGTGCTAAGAGCAGTACCTGGGAAACAGTGTATCCCGTGTTTATGTTAATATTGGGTAGGGATAGGCACTTGCAGTATTGGTTAAGATACTGTGTGAGGTGTGTGCATTCCATATTAGAGTACTTGGATTCGAGCACGAGTTCCACCTCTGATTGCAGCTTCCTGCTACAGCACACCCCCAGTGGTGGCAGATAATGTGTCAGGGCCTCTGCCACCCATGTGAGAGATCTGGATTGAATTCCTGACTCCTGGCTTTGGTGTGACTCAGACCCAGTGTTGCAGTCATTTGAGGAGTGAATCCACAGATGAAAGATTTCTCTCTCTCTGCCTTTCAAATAAGTAAAAATTTTAAAAATATAAAGCTATGTATTAAACAGCTTGAAAGCTAACCAATGGCTTATCTTCTTGTTAATTCTTTTTCTCCCCCATGCCTCCTGTTTTATTGTTTCTTCTCTTGCACTCCATACAACTCCACCCTGGCCTTCAGTCCTTATTTCTGATCTCCATCTGGTTCAGCAGACACTTCATGGAAGTGTTGGTGCCTTTACACATTTTCTGCATGGCCAGAACTGGAAGGTTCTTGTAACTTAGCCAGATGGCTTAGGCCACTTCCTGTCTATGCAGTTCCTACTTCCTGATGCTCCACTGTTGGTAAGCTTGGTTTGTATAGGCTGTGAGCTCAGAATGGGCTACTACCTGCTGGGGGCAGTCAGGGTTACCATCAACTCTGTTGGACAGACTCTGAGGTCCACCGTGAGCTGGTTGCAGAGCCCTCGGTCAGCGGGGCGGAGGAGGCCTCTGGATCTGCCAAGAGCACTGCTCCCTGGATGCCTTTTTTCTCCTGCCTTAAAAGCTCAGACATCCTGCACTTCCCCCTCTCTGCAGGAAAGAGAGAGCTAACCTAGAGGCTGTAGGATTTCTGTAGCTCTCAAGTACAGAATTTTCTCTCTGATGCCAGGCCTCATTTACACAGTAATGATTTGTGTCAATGCATGATTTGATAAGCTGAAGAATAATTTAGGTGGAGAAAAA